CCGAAGCAGAACCCACTCTCCAACCATATAGGAAACATCACGAACCTTCCGGTTCGCGTAACTCTTCTGTTTGGACTGGACTGTACAGAGTCTACCCTGAATCACCTTAACTTTCTCTAAAGCATTCTGAACCAAGTCTGTGTCCAATAGTCTAGCCTCACCAAGCTCAAACCAACCCACCAGGGATCTACACCGCCTACCTTATAAAGCCTTATACGATGCCATCTGAATGCTGGACTGATAGCTGCTGTTGTAAGCAAACTCCGCCAATGGCAAGAACTGATCCCAAGAACCTCCAAACTCAATCACACACACATGGGGCATATCCTCAAGAATTTGAATAGTAAGCTCGGACTGTCCGTCCGTCTGTGGGTGAAATGTTGTACTCAACTCCACCCGAGTACCCAACTCATGCTGACCGACTCTCCAGAACCGTGATGTGAACTGAGTACCTCTATATGAAATGATGGAAACTGGAATACCATGCAGACGAACAATCTCCTGGATATAAATCTCCGCCAACCACTCCGAAAAATAGGTAGTACACACAATAAAAAAATAAGCGGACTTGGTCAGCCGATCCACAATCACCCAAATAACATCAAACTTTCTCAAAGTCCGTGGGAGCCCAACTACAAAGTCCATGGTGGTTCGCTCCCACTTCCACTCCGGAATCTCTATCTGCTGAAGCAACCCACCCGGTCTCTGGTGCTCATACTTCATCTGCTGACATTTGAGGCACCGAGCTACAAATCCAACTATATCCTTATTCATCCGCCTCCACCAGTAGTGCTGCCTTAAATCCTGATACATCTTCGTGGCACCCGGATGAATGGAATACCGCGAGCTATGGGCCTCCTCTAGCATCAACTCTCGAAGTCCATCAACATTGGGTACACAAGCCCGACCCTGCATCCTTAATACCCCATTATCACCAATAGTCACATCTCTGGCATCACCATGCTGGATTTTGTCTTTGGGGACAAACAAATGAGGGTCATCATACTGTTGCTCCCTGATACGATCGAATAAGGAAGACCGAGAAACCACGCAAGGGCTCTGAAAGATCCAATCTCACAAACTGGCTAGCTAAGGCCTGAACATCCATCGCCATAGGCCTCTTCGATGCAGGTAAATAAGCCAAACTCCCTGTACTCTCTGCTCGGTGACTCAAAGCATCAGCCACCACATTGGCCTTGCCCGGGTGATACAGAATAGTGATGTCATAGTCCTTCAACAACTCTAACCACCTCCTCTGGCGCAGATTTAGATCCTTTTGCTTGAACAAGTGCTACAAGCGCCGATGGTCAGTATAAATCTCACAAGGCACACCGTATAAGTAATGACGCCAGATCTTCAGGGCGTGAATAATGGCAGCTATCTCAAGGTCATGAATAGGGTAATTCTTCTCATGTATCTTCAACTGTCTAGATGTGTAGGCAATCACCCTACCGTCCTGCATCAACACCGCTCCAAGGCTAACCCGCGAGGCATCACAATAGACCATATAAGACCCCGAGCCTGTAGGCAATATCAAAACTGGGGCTGTAGTCAAAGTTGTCTTGAGCTTCTGAAAGCTCGCCTCACACTCCTCCGTCTACTGGAACGGAGCACCCTTCTGGGTCAAGCTGGTCATTGAGGCCGCAATCGATGAAAACCCCTCAACAAAATGACGGTAGTAGCCTGCCAAGCCAAAGAAATTGTAGATTTCGGTAGCTGGGGATGGTATGTGCCAACTCCACACGACCTATATCTCCTTCGGATCCACCTGAATACCCTTACTCGACACCACGTGGCCAAAGAATGCCACTAAATCCAACAAAAACTCACATTTTGAGAACTTAACATATAACTTCTTCTCTCTCAGAGTCTGAAGTACAGTCCCCAAGTGCTGCTCATGATCTTCCCGACTCCGGAAATACACCAGAATATCATCAATAAAGACAATGACGAACGAGTCGAGATGCGTCTGGAACACACTATGCATCAAATGCATAAAGGCTGCTGGGGCATTGGTCAGCCCAAATGACATAACAAGGAACTCGTAATGACCATACTGAGTCCTAAAATCAGTCTTTGGGATATCTGGCTCCCGAATCTTCAACTGATGGTAACCTGAGCGCAAATCAATCTTGGAAAACACTCGTGCGCCCTGAAGCTAGTCAAACAGATCATCAATACAAGGCAAAGGATAACGGTTCTTCACTGTATCCTTGTTCAACTGGCGATAATCAATACACATACGCATAGAACCATCCTTTTCTTCACAAACAAGACAGGAGCACCCCAAGGTGATACACTGGGCCAAATAAAACCTTTATCAAGCAATTCCTGTAACTGATCCTTCAACTCCTTCAACTCATGAGGAGCCATACGATACGGAGGAATAGAAATGGGCTGAGTGCCCGGCAACAGATCAATGCCAAAATCAATATCTCTATCAGGCGACATGCCCGGAAGATCAGCTGGAAACACATCGGGAAAATTCCGTACTACTAGGACTGAATCAACTGAAGGGGTATCAATACCGACATCTCTCACATAAGCTAAATACGTGTCACACCCCTTCTCAACCATACACTGAGCTTTAAGAAAAAAAATAACTCTACTAGGAGTGTGATCTAAAGTACCCCTCACTCAACATGCGACAGATGTTTAAAAGCTAGAATAGAAAGTGACTCCTCGATCTGCGAACGCTGCAGATGTACCTCGAAGTCTCTAGAGCAGTCGCCTTGACTCACGGGTGATAGGACTGAGTCGTAGTACCTGGATATGCACATGAAAAATATGCGCAGAAGGGGCATAAGTACACCACATCGGTACACAGTAAGTGCCAAGTCTAACCTCGGTCGGGTAGTGACGAGGAAGGTCAGGGCCCTACTGAGGTTAAATAAAATATAAAGATCAACAATATAGAATAGAACAATATAAATAAGTACAACAGTAAAATAATACAGGATGTATAGGACAACAACAACTATACAGAAGAAAGGTAAACACGGGAAAAAAATACAGCTCAGCACCAATAATAACAATCGGGGATCTCCCAGGATACCGTCCTGTAGTCACATACGTACATATCCAATAGATCTCCCGGGATCCCGTCCCGTAGTCCAACTCATAGTGCGTGGAGGTCTACCGGAATCCCGTTCCATAGTCCCAAATAACTGTGCAGAGGGAATCTACCGGGTGCATTCCCGTAGTTCCATATAACTGTGCAGGAGGATCTACCAGAATCCCACATCCGTAGTCCCAAAATAAATAGACAAGGGAGAGCTACTGGAATCCCACATCCGTAGTCCCAAAATAAATACACAGCAGCAACAGAAAAATATCCGTAAATGGCAAAATTTCATGTTAAGGCAACAAGTGATTCTAGCCTAGCATGCTGCACAGAATTCAAGTAAGGCTGGTTGAGCAAATAAAACAATTAAGGCACTTAGACATGCTTTCCTAAGTTAACAACATGCTTAATAGTGCAAGTAATAGAAACAGGAAAGGAACCATACTAGTAATTACTTAAAGAAAACCAGATTTCCAACAATTAGCACAAGTACGCACTCGTCACCTCACGTACAAGGCATTTCAATTACCAAATATACCAATCCTAAGGGGAAGGTCCCCCACACAAGGTTAGACAAGCCACTTACCTCGAACCGGCTCAATAATCAATCCGAAATCACGCTCTTGCCACGAGTACTCGACTCCAAATGACACAAATCTATTCAATTCAATTGCATAATATAAATACCACTTCAAGTAATTGATTCTACAAAGAAATTCTAAGCTAATATGCGAAATTAGGTAAAATGACCTAAACGCCCCTCGGGCCCACGTCTCGAAATTGGGTAAAATTTGTATATTCAGAATCCTTATGCTCTCACAAGTTCATGCATACCAAAATTATCCAAATCTAAGGTCAAATTCCCAATCAAAAGTCGAATTCTAAGTCTAAGAACTTTCTTTCAACTTTTCCCCAATTTTCATCTCCAATCCGAAATTAAATGATGAAACTAACTATAGATTGATGGAATATAACTAGAAACGGTTAAAGAATCGTTACCCAATGATCTCCTCTTCAATTTTCTCTCAAAATCTCCCTCTCCCGAGCTCCAAATCGAATTTCCAACTTTTAAAACTAAACCCTCGAATTCTTATTTCTGCCCAGCTATTTTCGAATCTGCGGTCAAGGGACCGCATTTGCGGTCCCGCTTTTGTGGACCAAAGGTCACATCTGCGACTTCTCACTTAAGGGCCAACTTCCACATCCGCGACTCCCAAACTGCAGATGCGGTACCGCTCCTGCGGAATTACCACCGCTTCTGTGGTTCCTAAAGAAATTCCCTAATTCCGCTTCTGCGGCGCCACACCTGCGGAACCCAAACCTCAGGTGCGGTTATGACCGAACCAGCAGCTTCAGCTGCAACTCTAACTCCAAAAATCCTTCCGTCAACCACCCGAATTCATCCCGAGGCCCCCTAAACCTCAACCAAAGGCACCAACAAGTCACAAACCACTAAGTCAAAACAACGTTGAAACCTCAAATTAACCATGGATTTAAGCCTAAGAACTCCAAAATTCTCAAAAATACGCTTTCGATTAAAAAGTCTATCAAACCTCGTCCGAATGACCTGAAATTTTGCACACACGTCATATTCAACACTACAGAGCTACTCCAACTTCTGGAATTCCATTTCGACCCTCGGATCAAAATCTCACTATCAGATCGGAAACTTTAGAAATTCAACTTTCGGCATTTCAAGCCTAAATTAGCTACGGACCTCCAAAACACAATCCGAACACGCCTCTAAGCCCGAAATCACCTATCGAAGCTAACAGAACCATCATATTTCCATTCCGAAGTCGTCTTCATACTGTTCCAACTACGATTAACTTTCCAACACTTAAGCTCTCATTTAGGGACTAAGTGTCCCAAAACTCTCCGAAACTCAAAATCGAACATTCGGCAAATCAAAATAGCGGAAATAGACTCGGGGAAAACAGTTAATAGGGGCTCGAGTCTTTAATTCTTAAGTCGACCGGCCGGGTCGTCACAATCCTAAATTTGCTGTAGATCCCCGGAATGTACGGCTAGGCCTAGCTATTGATGGTTTCAATCCTTTTGGAGCAATGGCAACAAACTATAGTATTTTGCCTATGGTTCTTATTCCATACAATCGTCCTCCTTGAGAGTTCATGAAACAAACTTCATTTATTCTTTCAATGATCATTCCAGGAAAACAAATGCCCGGCAATGACATAGACGTGTACTTACAACCTCTTATCCAAGAGTTGAGAGAATTGTGGTACGATGGAGTGCAGACATTAGACTCTTCAAAGAATAAAATTTTTAAAATGTGAGCAGCCTTGCGTGGACGATTAGTGATTTTCCTGGGCTTGGCAAATTATCTGGATGGAACACATACACTCAGTTTGCTTGTCCCACGTGTAACTTTGAAATAGACTCTTGCAGGTTAAAGCATAGTAAAAAATGGTGTTTCATGGGTCATCGTCGTTTTCTTGAAAGAGACCATCGGTTTAGAATGCAGCGTATCCGTTTTAATGGGAAAATCGAGCAACGGGAGCCATCAATAGAATTATCAGGGTCAGACATCTTGAAACAAATAGAGTGAATCAATGCCAATTTTGGGAAAGTACCTAAGTCGAATGCCAAAGGTAAAAGAACTCAAGGAAAAACTATTGCTGAAGATAGACCGAAATAGTGGAGAAAGAGAAGCATATTTTTTGATCTTCCTTATCGGGAATCTAACTTGTTGCATCATAATCTAGACCTTATGCACATTGAGAAGAATGTGTGTGAGAATGTGATATATACTTTTCTCAATGATAGCGAAAAGTCAAAAGACAATCTTAAAGCTCGCAATAATTTTAAAGAAGTGGGTATAAGGAAAGAACTTTGGGCAGATGAGAATGGAAGCTATCGTCTAGCCTTGTTCACTCTTTTAAATTCAAAGAGAAGTGGATTTAAGAAAGACATATTTTTGCGGACTTTAAAGAATGTCAAAATGCCTGATGGATACGCTAGCAACATTTCAAGATGCGTCGACTTGAAACAACAAAAGCTCAAGTCAATGAAGAGTCATGATTTTCACATTCTCATGCAGCACTTGTTACCAATTGCCATACGTAGTATTTTACCATACAAGGTGACTGTAGTATTAATAGAGTTGAGTTCGTTCTTCCGTCAACTCTGTTCCAAAAGCTTAAGTCCCTTAGACTTTGACAGGCTCCAGTCTCGATATTTTATCACCATGAATCACCTGGAAATGTTATTCCCTCCTACATTCTTTACAATCATGGTTCATTTAACTGGTCATCTAGCTGGTGAAGCAAAACTTGGGGGACCTCAACAGTGTCGGTGGATGTATCCTATCGAGAGGTAAACAATATTTCTTATTGCTTGATTGGAGCTTGTTCAATAAGAATAGATGTTAATTTGTATCCATCAACTAATTTTTGATCTTTTGTTTAGGTATTTGGGACACTTCAAATCCTATGTGCGAAACATGTCACAACCAGAAGGTTCTGTAGCTGAAGGATATCTAGCTAAAGAGGCTCTTACTTTTTGTTCCCAGTATATTGAAGGGATTGAGACAAGATTTAATAGGCCACACCGTGTTGACGATTTTCTGGAGAATAGAGGCTCGGCGAATTTATCTAGTATTTTCCCACCAGTTGGTAAATGACTAGGAGCTATAACATTTGAGTTGTCACCTATGGCAAAACGTCAAGCATATCGATATGTGTTACTAAATTGTCCACAAGTCTTGCCATTCATTAAGTGAGTATTTAAGGAAAATATAAATTAAACTTGCATTAAATACATAAAAACTTATGTTAATTGTTATATTTATATCAAAATCTCATGTAGTGAGGTTAAAGCTTATGTGCAGAGGCGGTGGAAGGGTCGAAAGCCTTCAAACACGGAGATAGAGAAGATAGTTAGTAAAGACTTTATTGATTGGTTTCCTCGAAAGGTTGGTTACAAATGTATTAGAATTTTATAACTTAAATTTGTGACTAACACATTTTACATTCCTGTTTCAGATTGTTATTCCAAACATTTCAAATACTGTGTCTGATGAACTAAAATTTTTAGCAGATGGTCCAACACCATATGCTAGAAAGTTTACATCATTTAATATCAATGGGTTCAAATTTTAGACAACAACTCGAGAGCATGGGTTGAAAATGCAAAACAGTGGGATTTTTTTGACTTCATCCACATGTTATAATTCTAGTGGTGCTGATGGAAACCTGAGGCAAGCAGATTTGCCATATTATGGCAAATTAGAAGACATCATTGAGCTTAACTACTATCGATTTAGGGTTACACTATTCAAGTGTAAATAGGCTGACACAACTAGGAATAGAGGGTTTAGAAAGGATGCATGGGAAGTTCCTTCTGTTAATTTTTCACAATTGATTCACATTGGTGATCGTGAAGAGCATAATCCATATATTGAAGCTTCACAAGCTCAAATGGTATATTATGTGGATGATGAGGTGAATAAAGGATGGAGTACTGTTGTTCACTTGAAACCAAGAGACTTATATAAAATGGGAGAAGGAGAGAATGAAGTTCCTGAGAATGAACCATTTCCAGTGCAAGAGTTAGATCAATTCTTTGATGATGTGAATGATCTAATTTTGAGTCTCGAGGATGAAATTGATGAAGTATTATGTGAATGCGATATTAAAGATGAGATTGGGGAAGATGAACATATTTGAAGACCCACTGCCAACTCGTTTAGCTACTTTCTTTTATTAATGAAATTTCAGTTGGTTTCTATTTGTTTTGATTCCCTTAAGTTTTATTTGCTTATGCTTATTGCTTGATTTAAACCAAGTTAAAGTTGCTCCTTATACAGAGAAGTAGAGTCATGTTGCATGTGTATACATTCTCTTATTTATTCTGTTTCTACTGTTATGTCTTTGGATTCTCTTAGCTTTGTCTATACTGTAGCTCATTTTTGTTGTACAGAGCTTACTACAAGATCCAAATACTTGGTTATTGCTAAACACCTATAATTCTATGCAACTTAATGATGCTTGCACTGCTACTATTGTTTCTGCTTGGATGTTCTAACAATGGGCTGAAATATGTATCATTTGATCTGTTAGAGCATAAAACCTTAGGGAAGAATTTAATGCAATTTATGCCTCTGAATTTAATGCTCTTTGGCTATATTCTAAAATTGCATATTACTGATTTGTCACTTTGTTCAATCATGTATACAGAGATGCCAAAGCAAAATCGAGTGAAAAATCTATTCAAATCAATCAAAGGGAGATCTTCACTTACTCCAGAGCAGTCATCACATGCTCAGTCTCAGTCATCACATGCTCAGTCTCAGGCTCAAGCTTCATCTTCATCTTCTGATCGAGTTTCTTCACGTCATACACATCCCATCGTTCCATCTTCATCAACTAATAGAGTCTCGTCACATAATGTCGTTCCATCTTCATCAACTAATAGAGTCTCGTCACAGAATGTCATTCCATCTTCATCATCTGATAGAGTCTCGTCACAGAATGTTATTGTTTTTTCATCATCTGATGGAGTCTCTTCACAACCAACTGGACGTAGACGAGTTATAGATGACACAGAGTCGGAGCCTTGTGGTTGGGTTGTTGGTGTTATAAGTATGTAGCCTTTAGATTTTTATAAGTGAATCCAGAAATTGCTAGTGGACGATTATATATTCCGCAACTTCTACCACAGAACTGGTATAGACCTAAAATTACATGGCAGAAAGTAATCTCAAAAGGTAATATCTAGGAGTCTGAGCAAATCTAACAAAAGAAAGAAAATAATGGAAGTTAACAAATTGTAATATGTGATACCAACTAGAAAACTAGTTCTAACCAGAAGACTTCTACTAGAATATTAAAAATTATAACCACAAGAGTATATTAGAGAACACCTAGTGTTAAATAACAGTACTTAAGTATTGGGTATTGAAATATGCCTAAACAAACAATTTTATGATAGTGAAGATTTATATAGCATATTCAACTTTGAAATGTCTTAGTTCATTGATTTGTCATATTGTTTTGATAAGAGAAACATTCAGGAGGCATACAGTAAGCAAAAGAAACTTTTGATGAACTTGTAAAGCTATTGTGAATTACAGGAAATTATATATGAATTTGTTTTGTCTCTAGTAGTTGTGTTTTTCTCAGTTACATTTTCTTTTCATAAATCAAATACAATTTAAAAGGAGGAAAATAGCTCCCAAGTTGCTAATGTAGAAGTCTTGGAACAAAGATAATATCAGCACTGGTTTTGGTTCTGATTCTTGTATTGCTCATTTTGGTTATTAATTCCTAGTTCTTTCATGTAACTTCTTTACTGTATGTTCTCCATCTAATGAAGTGAAAACTAAGGTGGTGGTCTTTATTTTATTGCAGATGAAAATCAAGTGATAAAATTTATTAAGTTGAAGGTTCAGGATGTCCATAACTTGGAGAATGAATTGCGCATAATTGTAGAATGTGATGAGTTTGCTCAACCTATTGGAAAATCAGCTGGCATTCTTGCAGGATTTTTTGGGGAGCTTGCTACAAATCCTTGCTACTTTCCAATTGGCTTTGAGAGTTGGACATTAATGCCTAAACCTTTTATGCATTGAGTTGTTGATGATTTCGTATGGGTAATGCCTTTTAATTCTTTTGCTTAGTTTGTATGTTATAGTTGTTTTACTTAGATTTTTGTTGGAAAGAGTTGCTGTGTTGTTGATTGGAAATTCTCTCAGCAATAAACTAACACATATTATTTTTGTCAAGTCTTGATTTTTCTTTAGGAGTGATCAACAAAAGGTAAAAGGTTGGCTTAACAATTCGCTTAACAAAAAGTGGAAGGAATTCAGGCTTAAACTATGGCATGAAGTCGAGGATCCATTGTTGAGCAAAAAAAGATATCATATAAGAATGCTCTAGAAGGCATTCCCATGGACCAATGGGCATTGTATGTTAACTATCAATTCAAAGAGGAAACAAAGGTTCGTATTCTTCTTCTTCTTATTTTTCTTATTTCACTACTTGTCTTTGTTGCTTCTTCTCTGCCACTGTTGTGGCTTCTTTTATTGCTTGTCTCTGCTGCATCTTCTCTGCTACTGCTGTGGTTTTGTCACGACCCCAAATACCCGGTCGTGATGGTGCCTATCACATTACTGGCAAGCCAACCCAAACCATTAACTACAACAAATTCCTTTTATGAAACCATTTTCTAACGCATGTTTAAATTCCAAATTTCCATGATAAGTGTTTAAAAATAACAAAATATAAGTGGAAGTCAAATAAACATGAACTACACAGCCCTAAATATCTGGTGTCATGAGTCTAGAGCCTTTACTATATAACTGACTGTCTGATACAACAAAAGTTTAGAAAAATGCGGAAAAGAACAAGATAAGAAGGAGAAAACAGGGCTGCAGACACCATGCAGCTACCTTGAAATCTCCGGCAACCTCTAGATCAGCTGAGGACTCTCACTCTGCCACTTGGGCACCTGGATCTGCACACAAGGTGTAGGAAGTAACATGAGTACGCCAACTCAGTAAGTAACTAAAGTAAATAAGGTCTGAAAGCATTGACGAGTAGTTAAAAATCATATAACTGAATAAACAACAGAAAAACATGTCAACTTCATAGTTTAAAAACCAGTTCCGTCGTAAAATCATCGATTTCACTTTAAAACACTTGAAATCATATACTTAGCAATTTTCCAACGGAGACTATTTTTAAAAGAAGAGTGAAATCAGTGAAAATATCATAACTGGGCCCCTCGGGCAAGGTATCACTCAAAATATGGCCTCTCGGCAACCTCTCAATCACTCGTGACTCACTCTCGTCACTCAGACTCATTAATATCTCATAATAATAGAAATCATAGTAACCGTTGTGGCATGGATCCTGATCCGTAATTTATAGTCAACTACGCTCACTGAGGGTGTACAGACTCCGGAGGGGCTCCTACAGCCCAAGCATCATATCACTGCGACACGCAACCCGATCCAATATATATATCTCTGTTGCGTGTAGCCCGATCCAATATATATATCGTTGCGGCGTGCAACCTGATCCATATAAGTATCGCTGCGACGTGCAGCCCGATCCATAATATATACATATAATATCCTCACTATTAGGTTCTCAACCTCTCTTAGTCATTAACCTCATAGTCTCTCGGGCACAACAATAGAAATTAGGGAACTCAGCCCAAACAGTCCTCACAATTAGAAGTGGAGTGATAAAACCAGTTTTAAAACATTTAAACAGGTTAAACATGACTGAGGATATGCTTTCAACAAGTAAAGTGAGGAAAAATAGTAAAAATGCCCCTAAGGGTCTCAACAAGTTAGCACAAGGCCCCAAACATGGCATACAACTCATAATACAGTATAAATGACTAAAGTACTGAATATCATAAGGTTTCAAATCAAATACGTGGCTCAATAGTCGCTACGGGACGGACCAAGTCACAATCCCTACCGGTTCACGCCCACATGCTCGTCACCGCATTTATCAAAACAAGTCAAATACTGGGATTTTGTACCCTCAGTTCCAGATTTACAATGGTTACTTACCTCAAACCGGTGAAAATGCTACTTCACGACGCCTTTGCCCCTAGAATCGGCCTCCAGTATTATGCGATCATCATACTGGCACTCGTCCGACCATACAAATGAAGCACTCGTCTGAGTCAACTTGGTCAAGGGCGATGCGATAGATGAGAATCCTTGAACAAACCTTCTGAATGTATCCAATGGTCCTTCTCTCTCTTGAATTGAGCCATTTCTTCTTCACATCTCATTACTTGGTGTTCCTTACTAGATTTGGCCTCCTCATTTAACTGTATGATTTTCTCCTTAGCTTTGTCTAACGCCTTTTCAGTCTTTGTCAAGATGGAGTCATAATCTTGTATTTTCTCCATCAGATTGGCAATGATTTTCTGATCTTTCCAACTTCTCACTGGCGCTTCAGAG